ATCATCAACAATACCTGAATACCATGGTAAGAGGACCTTCTAAGCGTCAACGACTCGCCGATGAGGCGCAGGCGGCAGAAGAAGCGTGTGTTTCCATTTTCTGTTTTATTTTCTTTTCGATTTCCTTTCCTTGCTTTCACTTTCCGTCACCATCATTGTCTTCTCAGTGCGGAAAGAAAAGCCAGACAGGCTCCGATTGAAGGCCTTACCCTTGATCGTGGCAGGGGTGACACCCCTGTTCTTGTCGGAAAGTAAGCATGCCTCCTTTTTTGATTCAAATCACAAGATCACTGATTACCTTTGAATCTATTCTAGACCCGGTCACCACTGGGAGCACGTTTGGTACGGACCACGCCTCTATCGCGACACTGACGTTGTCCATACGGATCCCCATCAAGAACCAGGCTTTAAGGAGTTCATTTGCCGACTTCACCCTGAATTGTTCCCTGGTGAGTCTTTCTCTTATCTTTTCGTTCTTTAATCTTCTGCTAAAAAATTGTTCAAACAATCAAACTGACATGTTTTTTGATTTGTTACTTCAACTATAGCCACTGCCAACAAAATCCCTCAAAGCGATGAACCTGCACTTGCAGCCACGGCGGGACATCTTGAGTTCGATCCTTGGTTTGGTAGCCAAGAATACAACTTTGGCCTTTTGCCTGGTAATCCCAGATATGACACTGAAGAGTTGCCTCGTAATCCCGGATAGGACGCTGACGAGTTGCACAGTAAGTTCTCTTTTTTACATTATCAATTGTGTTTGTAATCATGAAACTGATGGTTACATGAGTTAGATCCTCGTGTTGAGTTGGATCTAACTTTATCACCCAGCCCAGCCCCGGTAGCCACTCCACATGTTGGAGCAGGAGTCGCAGCCACCAATGAATTCAAACCAATCAAGGCAAAGTTATTCTTTTGAGCTTACATACCCGAAGCGCTCACGGACGCCAACAAACAAAATGGGGTTGCCCAAACCTTCATGGACTACGACACCGGTGTTTATATTGACGTTATGGTTACAGTTCAAGGGGTCTTGTTTGCTGAATTGAAAGACTTGATTTTCGAGCTGTGCAACAAGAAGAAAAATGGTTGTGGTGAAGTACTTGAGCAAGCTGATGATGAAGGGCATCTTGCCTTCAAAGCTTATGTTACTCAAGGTGGTATCTTTGGCAAGTCTCAGACGCCATTGATTACAGACGAGTCAAATTTTACTGCTTACAAGGAAATAATCAAACTCAAAAAAGGTAAAGAGATTGGTTTCCGTGTCACAATGGAGGACCCAAAGAAGCTCGCTAAGACCAATTCAAAGGCAAGTGCTTTCATTTCTTTCAGTTTCTACTTCTATGCCTTGCATCTTTCTGACTGCTTTTTAAGTTTGGCAATCAGCAGGAACTGAGATTTGATAAAGCTATTGTACGCAAAAATCCGGCAGCATTGGACCTTGCTCAACGCAATGAACTCGAGATGAATGTAAGTTTTCTTTTCCTTTCAATACTTTCAATTGTTCACAACTGATCAATTTCGAAATTTAGGCCATTGACCTTAATCCAAATGCCGAAAAAATACGACAGGAGCTTGTGACTTTGTATGGCAAGACTTCAATTGCCGGTAAGGAAACCATGGGGATGATCAGCCCCAGAGACCCTACCAAGGCAATGTATCTAAGCCATTATGCATTTGACTTGTGATCAATTGCCAAGGTAAGTCCACCCTTTTCCTATTTTTCTCCGTTTGATTGTTTAATATTCAATATATTGATTTTGTTTTGCTTATCTCGATGTAGGCCAATTGTGTTCCAGGAGTCACCAAGTTAAATCCACCCAGAGGAGATGACTTCAGATGGGTGGATATCTACCCTAAAGGGTGCGGTCAAGGATCTACTGGAAGGGCTGGACCGTTCAAATCAACACATTTTCATGGCAACGGTGACCAAAATCCCCCCAATCACATCCAACAAGCTCGAGTCTGACCCGATTCACCGGTTCCAAGGCCACCTCCTGTGTTCAAAAAGTTCCTCGCCTATTGCTTAATCAAGCCCAACAACAAAATAACCCAAGACCTCCTTGTCAAGTATGATATTGTTTCTTATGAGATGTTCTTATCTACAGAGCTCAGCTGTGAAGTGATGGAGAAGTTTGGCTTTCCGTTTGGAGCCCGCCTTTGTCTTCATGAAGGCGCTCCCTTGTATCAAAAAACGCTCCAGGAACCGGCCTCCTAGCTTTGTATTCAAATTAAAAAAATGTACTGATCTCTTTGTAAAAGAAGTGTTTATTTACAACATTGTAGCGTGAATACTGTATCAGATCAATAAAATATTATTATTTTTTTGTTTTATCTTTGCTTTGTTTGGGAATAAAGACACACCTTCAGATCAATAAAGAAATTGTTGAAGTATAATCAACATCTGATATTGAGTGAGACCAAAGACTGAGGAGCGTGTAATGAAAACACTCAAAAAGAAAGGAAATTGCTCAATTTTTACGCTTTTCATTTCTTTACAATGGACTGTTTTTACTCAGTGGGATCATTCAAAGGACACATTGGAACTTGGTTTTTCAACCTTTTCATTTCTTTACAATAAGAATAATTTTAATCTTTTTTAAAACATGAGATAATGTAATACAACTTCATAAAAACACCTGCAAGTGTCTTCTGTATCCACAAGTTTGGTACAGCTTAGTAAGAAAAGTCTCCCTTGAAACATCACTCATTGCTTTCTCCATGCACTTAGACCTATTGCGAGCGTGAGAAAAGAGACCCTGTCGACAAAGCTTATCCTCGAATACCTTGAAGACTCGCTTGATTGGATTGAAGTCGGGGGAGTATGGCGGTAGATAGACCAATAACAATCCCGCCTGCGTACATAAATCTTGAACTATCCCACAATGATGGATTGGCGCATTATCCATGGCCAAGACTGAGTCTGGATTTGGGTACGGTGCCATGACAGGAAGCTGAAGATGATATATTGTCAGCTTCTTGTATTGGATTGATTCATGAGTATGGTCTGATAAGCAAGAGAAACAACTTACCAACACATGTTTTAAGAACGCCTCAAATTTGTTTTGACAATGTCCATTGATCTTGCTGTTAACTGCCAGCGAACCTAACTCGCAGATTGCAGCGAGCATGCTGTAGTGATGGCCAGCTCGGGCACGTTTCAAAGCTTTTGGTCTCTCGCCTCGCTTGGACCTAACGTTCTTGCGCTGCACATCCTGTGCTCTTAAGCCACACTCATCTAAAGAATGATTGGAAAAAGATTCAATCAGTCCAAAGCCATTGATCAAAGAGAGATGATGAAATAACAAAAAAAACAACGACTTACCGAGGAAAACAAGACACTTGGGTGGCACACAACATATTCTTCCTGAATAAGCACCCCAAAGGGCTGGCGACTGATTGGGATCCACAGCGGAGACTTTATGGATGGTGAGGAACAGGCGTTCCTTGAGGTCGTTTGCAATTGTTTGTCGAGAAGCCACGAGATCAGTGTGATTGTACATTGCTGCTTGTACTTTGTCAAGAAAGAGAGTCGGATTGGTTTTGACAAGCTGAACCATGAAGTCTCGATCTTTGTCAGTGTAGAGAGTCGGGCAGCCTTGTCATTTGTAAGTGGCAGGATTACGAACAACGGCTTGAGTATTGTTGTAGAGAACCTTCCAACGTGAGAAGGTTCTTGGTGAGATGTTGGTAAGCAGATCTTTGTTAATTGACTTCATTGATTGACCGGTAAGAAATTTGGTGATTGCTGCAACCTTCATTTGCGCTGAATAAAGCACGAACATGGTATTCAGGTATTGTTGATGATTGAGGGAGGGTATGGTGGTGGTGAGATTGAGGGTAAAGGGTATTTGGCGGTCAACAGCTGTTTGAATTTCAGCCTCGCTTGTAGCATATGCTTCAAAAACAGCTGTATTTCAGCTGCATTTGACCTGTATCAATAATAATAATAATTTTCGAATTCTCATCTGGTCAAGCTAATTTGGATTGACTGTACCTTAATTCAGGAACTTCTGAATTCAAAGGTATACAAATATGTGGTAAAGAAGTCTAGAATCATGAAGTGGAGAGAAGAGTTATATCTTTACAAATGAACTACAGATGATAAACTCATCAGAGTCCCACACTGTCGCTTGCAACCCTCGCCCAGCAGGACCCCGGAAAGCTCCAGGGAAAGTATCCGACCTAAAACCACCCCAATTGACCTTTTCAATACCCCGTGAGGCGGTAGAAACCCGAAAATCGAGCTTAAACAATTCTGGTTACGTCGGTATATCTCCCAGGAGACCAATCCATTCGTTTTTGGTCAGTCCGTACGTCCAAAAGACAGTGTTTTGGGGCTTTGTTTTTTTTTGGCTCAGGAGAAATCCATACCTGTCACGTCGGGACTCGGTAGGTCTGAATTCCAAAAATCTGATTTTGGCTCGAAAAACCCCCCAAAAATACCTTTTTTGTCGCTACGTTGGCCTTTTTTTCGACCCTCAATCCATTCATTTTACGTCGGATAGTTCACCTGGAGCTTTCCGGGGTCCTCGCCGAGCCGGGAGTCCCAGAGGATCCGGGTTTTTCCCCTGATAATCTGAGACTGAGAAAAACCTGAGAATTCTAAAATACAGCACACATACAGCATACCATGTATTAGCATACATAGAAGTATATCAATCATAACCAAAAACCCTTAAGTTGAAGTACAAAACCCTATGTGATGCTACTGATCGCAGATGTCTCCAGGCTGTCACACATCAACCTCGTCCACCCAATCCTCATCGCTCGACCCATCCTCATAAAATCTTTTGTTTCATCACTCTCAAAATGGATGAATTCAATAGCAACATCATGTTTCAACCAGCTCAAAAGGGACAACGGCACCATATCAATTTTTTCATCATGATCACACAATTTTTTCACCAACACCGTGACAAACACACACATCGCACGGGAATTGCATCCAATCAATATCCTCGAATAACTTCACACCTCAACTCTCATCACCCCTCAAGATGGTCGTAGCAACCCTTGTCCATGAGAGGTATCGCTTCATCACCGAAGGTTTCCTGCCAGTGCCCGTTAAGGGCGGTCTGGTTGGCATTCTATGTCAAGAATGCGAGACCCCTCTCCGTTACCATTCACCACTGGAAGACGCATGGAGGATCCACGTAAGCATTGGCCTTTTCAGCAGGTTTAAAGTGTTAACGTAACCTGACCTGATTCGTACCTGATTTCCTATTTAACGGACATCTATATCATCAATATCAGTGCCCATCACTTCCTAAGAATAACCAACACAACTGGCGTACCTGGCGTTGTGATCAACTCAACCACGAAAGAGCCTTGATCAACGCCGGGGCACCTCGACCCATTGTATCCTCTCCTACAGACTGGGGATCTCGGATCTCACCTTCTGGGGTCTTGCTTGACCCTAAACCAACCAACTCGAACAATCGGCGACCGCCCTATCCTCTCCCCAATGATCAGCATCATCCATTCTTAGGTCGACAACCACCATTAGGACAACCCCCACCCCTCACTACGTTCGACCCCCCCCAGCTTGACTCTCTTGCTGGGCCACACCGGGCCAAGGTCAAGTACCCATGTCTGCGACCATCACGTGGGCCAACTGCACATACTCACCGGATTACAGGCAACAAAGGATGCGCTTATCAGTACTGCCAAGCAGTAAGTCATCACACTTCTTTTGAAGAAATTGGACAGTTTATCACCCACCAACGCCATCACATTAACTCAACAGTGTTGCCTTGAATATGGATTGGGGCCGTGTTCCAAACACACTCGAGCGGCCAAAAACCCAATTGACAAACCCCACGCCATTCCACGTCCTTGTCAACCATCTCAATTGATACCAGCAAGCGCTTGCACCTCTTCTGCAGCTAGTACAACAACTCAACCAACACCTGAAACCAGACGATCACGGCCGGGCGGTCGCATTCACCAATGGGCCCAATCAGCCAACAGCCTTGGACGTCTCCTGGGGGTGCAAACGGTGGCGGCCATCCAGAATGACTGCCGCGAGCGTTTTGAAGCAGTAGAAAGACAGATCGCCCAAAAATACGATGAGACGAAAGTCGTCACAATCCTTCTATGGCTCGATGTGAGTGATGCAAACCTTGACTGATTTATCTCGCCACGCCAAACTGACCACTTAGAGGCGAGCGCAGGAGGTGCAAGCTAAGGTCATCTTGGCGCATTTTGACCAATGGCCTAAGGCACGGCTTGACGAGTCAAGCCTGCTCATGCAGGCTTGCACACAAACGCTAGGACCTACGTGGAACCAAGCGCTTTTGTTCTGGGACGAAAAGATCGACTCTTGGGTAAGGTTTCTCTTCTCGATTTGCAATATGGGTATTATCTAATGTCCTAATGGTGGTTTCAGTATGAAACCATGGTGTCATTCCCTCATCGGTTCCCCTCGAACAACAAAGTGGTCATGGTCCGGTGGCAACAAGTGGACCCACAAACTCCTGGATTGCCACAATCAAAATCAAGGCCAGCCCGGACCATGCGTGTGGACACCAGTGTTGACCCCTTTCCACCGGACCAGCAGCAATTTGTGACGACAACAACCAACGCCGAAAAGCCCCCTCCGCTCGCAGCCACCCATCTTCCCCAATCCGATAGTGAAGAAATCCAGGTTGTGCAGTCGACTTGGACGACAAGTGCAGATCACCACTGTGCTACCTCGCCCAATTCCGACTCTGACGATTCGGTTGTCGTGGTGAAGAGCACCTTTACCAAGAGCAACATACCAAGCAAGGTCGTCAAACGCGAAACATCTGAAGACCTGCCCATATTTGACCCGTGTGCATCAATGAAAGATGCACACGGTGATCGTCAACCGGTCAGACTTTACTTTAGCAACCTGAGGAGTTTAAGCAAAGCAACCTAACTGACCTCTGTCGCATCTATAGAATTCCGCGGTCACCAGTTCTACATCTACATCTAGTGTCGGCCCGTCTACCTCTGCCTCATTAACGAGCTCCGCCAATCTTTTGAAGAAAAAGTGGCCCAGCTCGGAGATGCTTGTGTCAACACTCCTTTTGTGGTACAAGGAGTGTGAGACTCGCCCTCCACTACAGGCCTGGAAGGAAATCTGGGGAAACGAGTGGGTTCTGGTTCCTTCAACTGTGTACAGGAACAGGCTTTGGGTAGAAAGGGTTGGGTTCAAACGATTCTCAGACCAGTACAGGAATCACCCTCGTGCCAACGTGGGTGAAGCACGAATCCTCTACAAGAAGGAGTTCCAGGGTGTTGCTAATGTCTAAGGTCGTAGACGATTAAAGAATAAACAGTTTTTGTTTCTTCAGTACATCCTTATTAATCAGTTGTCGTAGCATATGAAATGATCAACGAAAAGGATGACCAGAGTCCTCATTGAACCTTTGAGATGTTGTGCCATGATCTGAATATCATTCGAACCCTTTGATAATATCGTTTTGAGCATACTGACCAAGGCAAAGGGGAAATGATATCATCGTCACCACATCCACACAATGGCTCGACTGGATTTTTGGACCCTGTGGGTTTGTTCGATTAGCACCCTGGTACGTGATCAAACCGACATCCAGCTATAAATAGAATGAGTATATATATATCAATGATCACTAGATAAGCAACATACCGCCACAACCGCCATTTCTCATCTCAGCATGCCTACTCAACCACGAAAGACTGCGTCACTTTCTGCAATCCTTACATCAACCAGCGATGTAAGATATCTTCATCAGTGACCACTTATTATCTTTTTTCTTCACTTCGATCTGACTTCCCTATATTCTTACAACACAGGCAACACTCTTGCGCCTTCCAGGGCCCCAAGGTGGTGTAGCTTGGCACAAGAGCGAGACTGAACTTGTGTTGAAAGATGCAGCAGGCCAGCCCGTCCTCAGTCCTCTCAAGGCCTACGGATATGTCATGGCCGATGAAACGCTCACCCGTAATCACACTTATCACATCCATGGTGCCGTGGGTGTTGACGAACACAGCGCCGCTTTCATCAGGCACAGCAGCATCACTCAGACTTTGGTTGCGACGACTAGTCCTAACCCTGCCAACCTTGCAGGCAAAGCAATGATTAGTTCAATTGGGAAGGTCCTTCACGTGGCCGTTGACAACGTCGATGAAGATGATGGTGAATGGCATCTCACCGTTCAAGCGGAACATGAGATCTACGACCCGGAAGTCAGTGCTCCAATCACACTCTTACTCTTTCAGCAAGGTCATTAACTCAAAGGTGTCACTTCTTCACTTGACAGGAGAGACGAGCAATACTATTCCCAATCACTTATTGTTTTGGGCATTTTTCTCCTCAGTTATCCGAGATGGGGGATATAGAAATCAATTCCTTGATGTGGTTTGTGGGGTGTGTTGTTTCCAAAGAGTCTAACCAATTCATTGTCCAAGTACGTTTCTTTGTAATCTGAGTCTATAATGTCACTTTAATCATCTGACTGTATACTTTGTATATGTATCTTCAAAACAAACTTCTTTCAGGTCCTTGAACATGGTGTCGTGGTGGTCTAGATGGATGCTCATGGTGGAAAAACGTGATTGGACATTTGTTAAATGTCAACATTTATTTGTATCTACTTGTCATTCGTTTCAAGTTTTGCAAATATATATATATATATCACGTTGTTTTGGCGCAGGCACACAGGCGTGAAAAAAGATAGAAAGAACACATAAAAAGAAAGGATAACAAGCCAACTTTGTTTCAAAATATTTGAATTGGAAATGAATCAGTGAAAATATTTAAATGTATCCATTACCCATGAACATCATTCCCTTGCGCTTGTTCAATTTTTTTGTGAGCCATACATTCCTCAAGTGTACCATCTGCTCCAAAAAGAAATTGTATCTAAGGGAGTGCATGTTACGACACATCCTCGCGAACCCACCGTACCAAATATTTGTGAGTTCTGCAGCGGAAGCATTGAACACCCATCGTCCATCTTCTTGTATATCGGGGAAGAGCTTTGGGTCGGTGAACATCTTGCAAAACTCATTGCTCTCGGCATGGGAGCAATGGTGGAATGGGTCGACCGGAATCACCGTGCCTTGAAATCGTATTGAATCCCCGTCTCCGTGGTATATGTGCTCTGTGAGACGGCATGCGTTGTCGTAAAAAACAACTTCAGGCATCCCTTGAGGAAAAGTATCTTCCAAAAAACACTGGGGCAATTACATCAATAATCACGTCAATAATCACGTTTGGACAAACATCAGACCCAGCGAGCCACTCACCTTGACAGCACTGACTGACTCTGAGTGGTAGAAGGTCTTTCTGGCCAAAACAATGCCACAACAACCAACAACTAGTTGATCATTGTGTGTCCGACACCGGGATACTACCAGTTTCCCCTTAGCTTTCGATTCACCACCATCACGGGCGCTCTTGTGGGCGCGGTTCGCCTCATCAGCTTGGCGCAAACCTTCGAGGTCGTTAAATTCTCCGGTCTCGGCGTCGAGGTGCACGGTCGGATCGGAAGGCAGGTTGGATCCAGGTCGATTGAGAATCGCAGTCAGGGAAAAATTCGATTTTACACGATTGGTGAACTTAGCCCACGCTTGTATGTGGGCAGTCTCGTCACATGTTTTCGAATCTGGCATCGTGTTTTTTTTGCAAGGTTGTACATGACAACGAGAGCCCAGCAGTGAGTGGTGAAGGGAACAGAATCGATTGTTTATGTTGTTGAGCGGCTTTGTGCAAGGCCCTTCAGGCCGCGGAAGTCCAGATTCTATAGCAATCTCCTCGAGTTGGTCTGGCGTTGCACTGCAACGCCAGTGGCCAATAGTGAGTCCGTCGGTGACGACCGCTCGAATCCCTGGTTTAATGCAAGTGCGTTACAAATATGACGTCTTTCAGACTTAACATATATAAGAAGTTACTGTACCATAAAAAAGAGGTTCGCCGGTATCTGGATCCAGGCCACCCGATTTGACCCGAACACAACTACTGCAATAGTGATCGCGGAAGCTGGTCCCTTCCACGTCCAGCCGTTCCAGATGAGAGGCAATCGCCTCGTCAAATCGAAGATCATCGGTTCCGGTGGCGGGAAGGAGAAGTTGATTTCGCCTGCGATCTTCGTGGGCCAGAAGGTCGCGTAGTTCAAGGGCGTCTAGGCACACGGCCTCTGACATAGCCGGCGTATACACCTCATCAAAATGTGGCACATCATCTATGTCTTTGACATAGATTTCATTGTACCAATTCGTTAGGTTAAAGTGGGAGACACTAGATTTGTCAGTCGGAGGAGGTACAGTGATCGATCAGCAACTATCAGGTAATTCCATTCAAACATGCGAACTTACTGGGCCAACATTTGAATTACACGGAAAAGGTGGGCTAACCGGTCGGTGATGTAATAGTGACAGTGAACATGTAGAATGTTCACATCACGTCCTTGGTCCAAGGTATAATAATGTCAGGTTTTGGCGCTGGTGTAATAACTCGGGGGATACGATGCCCCACAGCCTATTGATCGAGTATTTGGGTCAGCACATATTCCAAATATATTCCAAATGGGTGATAAAGACATTCTCACCTGGGCAATCAAGGATTACCGTCTGAACTGAGTGAACCCTGTCGGTGTCATAGAGGTACCCATTCAGGCGGGTGTGGACGTGTAAATTTGGTGAAGGTGGACAAACGATACATTGATTGACGGGCGGGCGTAGAAAATGTTCAGGGAGCTTGAATTGAAGACCAGACTTGCGGATGGCCGCTTTTACATCAAAGCGTGCCGAGGGAAATATTGGAAAAGTTAAAGTCCATAGATCTTTGATTAAGTGTTCTGGAAACTTGGGAGCAAGGGCGTTTGTGAGGAAAGGTAGTACCGTTGGTCGGTGGGGTGAGAGACGCAATGCAATTCCTGCATTATGGTGAACCTCCGACGCTAAGTTGATAAATCGAACAAAGTCAGTGACTGTCAAGGTGGTGCTGAGATGGGCACTGGTGGTCGACATTTGTGCTGGGAAATCGGTGAGTAGCATAGTGGATAGGAATGATCTTCGGTTTGCTGGCTGGCTGAACGACGATCGGTGAACTGAGGTGACCAAGGCGGAAGGGTTGGTTGTGCTTTGTCACATTGATTGTCACATGTGTGTCGAAAGGAAGTCACACGACTAGTAGTATGAGTCAAAAAGGCATAAGACATATGTGCAAAATGGAAAAGGGATACAAGCCGTTCTCAAAAAGCTTGCGTTTTTCAATTTTATTTTTTTGGCAGTTGACGGCCGTTGACTGTTTAGGCCTCTTAAAACCCATGATTGTGACGTAATACAAGTAACAATACAATACCACACTGATCTCGGAGCTATTGAGTCAACCATCACAGCTCATTTTTGGTCCTTTATCCCCGCCACCTTTCTCTCACTTTAACTCACAACATCACCACATTCTCATTAAATTTGTCTATCCTTCTGGTGAGTCATCTCAGTCCTTGTTTTGTTTCCTGATTTCTCTTGATCTTTCAGCTTTCCTCCTATACAACAATGCCTTTTGTCTCGTACTCGTCCGATGTCAAATACATCATCATTCGCAAAGCTCTCCGCGGTGATACACTTGAAATGATTAATCAAGACCTTGGATTGAATGTATCAAGCGACTCACTGACTCGATGGCTCAGTTTGTATCATGAGACTCGCCGAGTCATCGCGGATCCTTCATTCTACGATCCTCGTGGAAGGCCAACGATCTTATTGAATGAGCAACGCGACTTTATCGAAGCGGCCATTGACGCTGAGCCAACTATCTATCTTGACGAGCTAGCACGCCAAGTTGCAATTGAGAGGGGTGTTGTCGTTTCAATCCCTACTTTAGCTCGCGAGGTACGCGACCGTCTTGGTCTTACTGTGAAGGTAGCCAAAACTGTCAACCCAAATCAATGCCCCAATGCACAAAGTCGATTCCTTTACGATGTGGGTGGAATTGATCCTGCTTGCTTGGTTTTCTTAGGTATGTGGATTTCTTTCTTTGTGATTTCATTTCTATGTGTTTGCGCTGACACTCATCTTGGAACAGATGAGAGCGCAATGGCTGCCCGAAAGCTACACCGACCTCGAGCCCGTGCACCAAGGGGTCAACGTACGAGACGTATTCCTAAGCCTCTGACGTCACGCAAGTTTTCCTTGCTTCCTGCGGTCTCATTGAGCGGCTATCTTGGGATGGTGGTTCAAGAAGGTGCGATTCGCCGCGATGACATGGAGGATTTTCTCTCCAATCATCTTGTACGTCTTGATTCTATAATTCCGATCAGTGTTTACAATACTGAACTCATCTTTTTCGTTTCCAGCTACCCATGATGAACCCATTCCCAGCTGAGAACAGTGTTCTTGTCATGGATAATGCATCCATTCATCGTGGAGGTCTCATTGAGGAGCTCTGTGACCAAGTTGGTGTACAATTGATGTACTTACCAGCCTATAGTCCAGAGTTTAATCCTATTGAGAAGGCGTTTTGTGTCATCAAGTCCCGACTTCGAAGGAGTGGTGACCTTAACAGAGCACACTCGCCACAAGAGGAGATGGACATTATCTACCGTACTGCTGATGCAGCACTCACACCTGAACTCATCCGCAGCCTTTTTGAAGGATCGGTTTACTTATAAAAGGTAAGTTGTTACCTGTTTCTATTGTATTTGAACATCATTGACTTTTGGATCAATTACCTCAAATTATCCAATCAATCATCAAGTTTCATATCTTCTTCACAATCAATCAGCAAGTTAGACCAATCAGCAAGTTTAAGTTTCTCTCAATTTCATCAAGCTACACCAATCACGATCAGCAAGTTAGACCAAACAGCAAGTTTAAGTTTCTCTCAAATTCATAAAACTACACCGATCATCAAGTTGTTACCTCCATCATCTTCTTTACAATTGATCAGCAAGTTAGACTAATCATTGAGTTTCAATGGATTGGTTTCTCAAATCGATTTTCTTCTGTTTCTCTAGAATCACTCATCCAACGGTGGCTCGCTCAGCTAAGCTAAGGATTTTTGCCACCTTGGCTTAGCTTAGCTAGAGGCCGCTAAGGAAAAATCCGCTAACACTAATCTTAGTGGATTTCTGCTAACGCTAAGCCATTAGCTTAGCGGGCGTAAAATGACACCCGCTAAGCCAATTGATTGGCCGCTAAACCGCTAATAGCGGCTTAGTGGCCCTTTTTTGCACTTAAAACATGTATTTTTTTGATAGCTAAGCTCCTGGCTTAGCTTAGCGCAGACCCGCTAAAGGAAAAATCAAAATTCGATTAGCTTAGCTTTAGTGCGCTAAGGATTTAGCGCTAGCTTAGCGACAAAAAATCGCTAAGATAATGCACCGCTAAGCGCTAAATTAGCTTAGCCATGCCACCGTTGACTCATCCCATTATGATTTTTTCATCTAAACATCATGTTGTAATCAGATTGTAATATTCTATCTTATTGCAATTAAAAATAGCTGGACTTTCCAAAATAAGTCACCTATCAAGCAAACTGTGCCCAGAATCTTAAAAACATAACAGACAAAAGAGAGAACATCTCATTTTTGTCAATGATGGAATAGAGAGATCTATTTTTCAAAATCGTTGTATCTTAAAGACATCAAACACAAGAGTTGCATTGCTATTGAAAAAGTATATCAACATCTCACATCTGGCACCTCTTACAAAATACACAATTACAACCAATAACAGCAAAGGAAATGAAACTCTATGAAAAATACAAAAGATGATATGGCCTATGAGGTCAATAGTTGTAGGTCAGATTTCGCTTACAAGCTAAGACTCTTGTGCATCCAGTGCAGCAAGCTTGGCTTTCAAAACTTTCTCATAACGTGCGGTTGAATTGAATAGATGGTTCGCATGACCAACTGAAACTCCTACTTTTTCCAATACATCCAAAGTCAACGCAGGGCTTGGCTTAAGAGAGCTCCAGCTATCGAAGTGAGCTTTAGATAAGCTTTCTTTCAAGCTGGAGTCGTGATCAACTTCGGCAAATTTGAGAAAATCATCTATATCCCCAACATACTTCTTCTGATAAAGACGGATATCGTCTTCCGCAATATTTGAAGCCAACGCGGGTGATGTTTGAGCTGAAGGTCCAGGTTTGATTGCCATGAATCCCACAGGTGGAGGATCATCTGGAAATTCGACATAGCCAGGAGGGGGAATTCCATTTACAAATGTCTTGAAGGCCGGAAGTAAAGGTGGTTTGTGAATATCGACATCGGTTCGGCCTTCTTTGCGAGCAGCAATCTGTATGTATAAAAGGATGGTTTAGTTCTTGAATCTAGAACACCTGATACAAGAAAGAAACACTCACAATAAGATCGGCCCAAATCTTGATCTTGCGAGTGGTCAGAGTAACCCATTTCGTAGAGTCTTTGGGGTCTCTGAACCTCATGCGGTCAGACCCACCATGGTTAACTACATGTTCACGTTTCAAATGAGCAACCACTTCCTGAACATCGGTAGTTGCCTTTTGCTCTGCTGATGGGGGAGTATTGACGGGGCCACTGTCTTCGATGAGTTGACTAGCTTCCCATGAACCTAAGTAAACACCAACTTTCATGCGATTTTCAACAGCTGCAGCTGGGATTGCTGGATTTTCCATCTCTACAAGCACTCCTGATGATACTTTTGCAGAGCCTAGAAGAGTCTTGAACTGAGCCCACTCGATCGGATCTTGAAGATTGTGTCGTTGCGTAGAGAAGCGACCGGTTGGGGTAAGACCAACACCAAGCCAGTTTACAACTTGGGTTGACTTCGGATTTGGATTCTTGAGGTAAGTTCCAAGGTTGCGTTGAATAGAATTGAGTGATGTGACCGTAAGATCGATAACTTGCTCAGCCGTGGTGTGGTTGGAATCAAAAACAATGTGATTGTTGGGCTTGTTGTCTGTTGCCTTGTTGGTCTTTGAGAGGTTCCAACCCTCTTTTGATGAATTTTTTTTGATCTTCCAGTTGAAGTGCAGGCAATATCTTTCGGTCCCCATAGGTACGCTTCGTGAAAGACTCGAAGTCTCACTAGGTTCACTTCTAACTCATCCGAAGTTGAAGGAATAGCCGGTTGATTCAAACTTTGACTTGCGAGAAGACCACTTGGCAAATGACGCTGAGATCCCCGATTTACTGGAGTGCCAAACAAGTCGCTGAGATTCAAGATAGGTGTATCATTTTTGAGCACTCCCTTTCCGACTTGAAGCATGCCACATTGAGGGTTGTATGTAGGCGGAACTCCATGATGTTGTGCCAAAGCATGGGTGTGTAAGCCAGGGACCACCCAATCCCCTTCTCCTCTACGGTCTAATTGGGGATCATGATGAGCTTTTCAAAAAACGAGCATCATCAGCTTTGTGTTCAATTCTAAAAGCAAGAAAAGTTGAAATAAGCTACTCACGTCGAAGAGCCTGACGGCCAGCTGCTGCTGCTTGTATAAAGCTGGAGCGCCGGGCAGAACGTGCATCCTCAATAGCGCGACGGGCATTCTCAATAGCTGAAAGAAAGCCATGCCAGTCAATTCAAACACCAACATAAATGCTAAAGATTGAGGAATCAACATACCACGAGCTTGATTGGCCCTATAGTCCATGTTACTGTGATCTGGATTCACACGAATTTGGTGGCGGAAGGCTGCACGTTCAGATGCCAAACGCGCGGGGCTGACAATCTCAATTTCATCGCTGGTGTCAGTCAAGTTGGCTACTGAATGGCGAGGTCTGGTGCTGGAGGCAGGGGCACTGCTTGGAAGGCCATTGCTTGTGGAGTCGTTGGTATTGAAAGACATGAGTATCGACAATTATTTACAGATGGGCAGGAGAGTGGTGGTTCAGGACTCGATGGCTCAGCTATTGTATTCAGAGAGCTGGTCATCTCATTGCGTCATCACAATAGGTTTACGGTACTCAAAACAATCAGGTTCGTGCTACCTTTCTTGGAAACCTGCTTTCAAAATGTCGTTTTTGTGGGGAAAATGAACTGTAGAAAAATCCAAAAACAAAGTTCCAGCGAATT